TAATTTAAATAAAAATCCAGTACTTAATAATACCTAATTCTAATTTTTCCCGAACTGTTTTTAAGAAAATTAAACAAAATCATGTCACAGCTCCGTGAAATAAAATGAGAAAATCTAAAAAGAAATCATTTCAAAACACTTACTTACCTACCTTTATGCCCAATTTTAATTATAGAAGGTGCTATGATTTTTGTGTTTCTTTTATAAAACGTTCATAACTGATCTGAAAAATACTTAATACGCAAGCCATTTTAGCTATCTATATTACCTAAATAATGAAAAAAATAAATAAACTGAGTCAACCGCCCGACAAATTAATCGCCCATCCATCATACAAATCATTTTCTAACGATTTCGTATAAAAGATAATTTTATGTGGATGTGAATTTACAAATACGAGTACAGCGTGCAAAGAACGAATTGTCAGTGTTGCCAAAATTAATTCCCTGTGTATTTGAAACCCACGTTATTTCGTCGTCTGTTTGCAGTTTAGACATATCAAAACTTTATTCCGAATGGCACGTGTTGAATGATCGAAAATGGTTGGTGACTTGCTTGTTTTTAGATCTATCGACGAGTGCCTGAACTAAAATGTTGGTAAAACAGGGGTTGGCGCGTATATTATTTGAAATTTCAGCTTGTATTTTATTTCTCAATTTTCTCCGTTATTACATTGATTTGATAATTGGTTTCAAGGTAATTGTATTTGATTATTAATAGAGTATTTGCTTGATCCCTTGAAAAAATCATATTACATTTTTTTATAATTGTTTAAACTTTTATTTTTATTATTATCAAAGTTACATTATTTATATTGGCGTCAGCAACTGCTCTGATTTATTTCAAAAACGTCTACAAAATCTTAGCTCTCTAATTTGTATAGTTTTCAAATTTATTAGAAAATAAAATTAAGAGCGTACGTACAATTTTTCGGGTATAGGAGTTTCAATGCTATTCTTTTTCCCAAATTATGAAAAAACTAAAGAATATTTTAAAAAAATTTAAAAGTACAATAAAGAACGTGTTGATATCTAGAAAAGTGCTGGCTTGGCAACATCGTAATAATTTTTTTATGGAAACAGAGTGCGGTTGAAAACTGTGAAAATAACAACAAATTTTCATTTCATAAAAATAATAAGTCAGCTTTTTTCGTTTTTTATATAAATCTACCACTTTCCAAGGTAATAAATCAGAAGGAAAATTACCGAAAACCGATTTCAAAAAGGTCTATTAGTTTTTTTAGAAAATGGAAAAAGAAACAACACTTTTTAATCGAGTTAAAATTCTTTACTAAATTGGCTGTCTTTCTTCCACGATGTCCGGTCTCCATCTTGTTAAAACTCGATAATTATAGACGGATTAAGGTATTTTGTACCTCACACGTGCATGTGACTACATTTAAATTAAAACATTTGTAAATGTTAAAAAATTTAAGAAAGATTTTGTAGAATATAAATCTTTTTTATAAAGATTAGTAAACTTTGCTGTATATATACGATATTCTAAAAGGTAAATCACATTTATGTGATTATAATTTTTTTTAATTATTTTCTAATATATTACGGATTGCTCTCTAAATATATATACAGGTCTTGCAAAAAGCCTGCTCCATATGGAACACTTTTTATTATCACTTTTTTAAGAAAATATTATTCCTGATATTCCTGAAATTCACTCGTAAGGGGGTGAATTAGGGAGAGTATTATTATAAAACTTGGTGTTCAATTTTAAACCTGAAACTTTCTTTATTTTAAATATAAATTAGGATGCGCAGTGAACTAGGTACCCACATTTTTACATATAAAATTAATGTAATATAATGTATATAAGCCCATATAGTACTTTAATAAAATTAATCTAGTTTATTATATACTTTTTTACGTAGATTAAAAAAGTTTAAAAATTTGGTGCTTTCTTGGTGCGTCGTATGATTTCTTTGTATATGTTTAGGTACAGATAATTATTGATACTGACACTTTATTTTTAAATCATTAAAATAATATTTTGTTAATCCAAAAAAGGCAAACAAAAAAATTCTTGCCATATACAGTGTAACAATAAAAATTAAATATATAAATATAGCATGTTTCCCGCCTAAATATTTTGCAATGACGTTGTTATATTGTTTTGCGTAATTATTATTGAGGTTTTTAATTAAACTATCTGCATGGAATTTTATTCTTGATATAGATGACAATATATCTTTCATCATTCCGCATTCTGTCAGGTCCACTGTGTAGTCCGTATTCTCTTTATTTCCTAACTTTGTTCAAAAGTATTTAGAACAGTTCTCGTGTTTACCAAATACATGATATGGGATATTAGAAATGTCAGGCTTTAGATTTGTTATTTTATGTTCCATTGCAACTTCAGATTCTCGATGGTGTTTAGCAGCTTTGTCAATAGCAATTCGTAGCGTTAAAATATTAGATTTTAACAAACTACGCAATTTGACTGGAACTAACTTTCCTGCGGTACCTCAGAATAATTTTCCATTTTTTTTCAAGGACCTAATATATAGAACAAAAAATAAATCAATATTATTTAATTTTAAATATAAATTGGTATTACCTTAATCGAGCCAGTCGCTTATTTTTCCGTTTGTATGTTGGTTTTATTTTTCCCATCTTTCACAAAAATACACTTAAAAAAAACTAACTCTATACTCCTAAATATGTAATTTAATCTAACTACAGCTATTCACTAAATTAAAATAAAAAATATTGTAAACACCCTCTAATAAATCCAACTACGTTATAATATCTCACAATGCACCAAGAACAACTAAATGCGGTTCTGGTTTCCTTAATTCAGGTAACTCTGACTCACTTAAGACCTCTGAACGTCGGCAGCCGTGGAAGGGAAATAATATATGGGATGGAGTACACGATTTCGAGTTCGAACGTTAAAATTTTGTAGGTACGCTCTTAAACGCAATTAAACTCTCACCTTAAATAATGAAAATACCTACACTAGTTTTATTTATGTTTATATTTAACTTACGATAAGTCATACTTTTGCTTAGGGTAGGGCGCCATGGAAAACTTTTAATGAAATAGTTTGGGAATCTCTGCATTAGAGAATTTAAGGGAAGAGGTATTTTTCAAAGGAATAAAATAAAAACAATACAACTATAAATAATATTATTAAATCATCTGTGCTCTCCATATATACAATGTACAATAATAAAATCTCCATTTTACAATTAAATATTAAAAACGTCTTAGGCTAGATTAACGCGATTCCTAGAAAAAAATGTAAACGTAAGTTTTAAGAGCAATTGTCCATTTTTTATTTTACTTGTACCATCACAGAAAACTTTTTAGATTTTGTCCCGAATTCTGACAAAACTTATCTATATCGACATTTCACGACAGTATGTATTTCTTCATTTTTAAAACACAGGGTATTTATTCTTTTAGTCATATACATTATAAATACAATAATTATTAAATTAATTCACAATCAATTAAAATAAAATTTTCATCTTATGACTCGTAATAGACGATTTTGTATTTGGTTTCTAAAAAACGGACAACTTTTTTGTATTTTTAAACAAAAGTAATAAAAATAAATAAAATTAATTTTATCGACAAATGTGTACCAAACTTGTAAAAAATTTAAGTTCACCACATTCGCTATCATTAGGTACACAATTATATAAAAATAATTTTTGCAACTTAATTGTTTTAAGTTTTAGAATAAATTCACAACTTTAATTAAACGTAAAAAGTAACGTAAGAAAATAACCCACAAACCAAAAAAGAAGTATTATGCTTTAAAAAAAGAGGTGAACTCACATTTCATTTTGGTTATGCAATGTACAGTGCGGTGCAAAAAGCTTGTATCAAGAAAATGTTTTCCTATTTTATCTGTATATATAAAATAAACAAAATAGTTGTTTTTTTAATATTATTAATGTTTATACCAAAACAGAAATTTAATGAACAAGAGAAAAATATTTTTTTTTAATTGAATATAATAGGTAATAGTAATGGGTCGATAATTTTTGAAACAAAAAAAAATAGTAGGATGAAATCCATTGGAAAAGGAAGAGAATATAACAAAAATGAAAGGAAAAATAATTTACCGTCGATCTGAGATCGGGAAGTGGATGGGAGTGAGTTTTTAAGGGTAAAAAACGGTTTATCTCGAGTCCTATGGAAAAAAGTTAAATGGCAAAGTGTTATGTAATAAAAAGATATGTCACTTTTCTATTTACACTTTTTTCAATCGAAAATTCTCACGTCAAAATATCTGCTTTTTTAAAAAAGTCGGTGGGCTTTTTGTTCGTTGAAATCTCTACTTTATGATGGTGTAAAAAATATATACATTACTATGGTAAATGTTCTCAGAAAATGTAAAGAAACGAAAAAACACGAATCCGAAAATTTTGTTTTAATCAGTATGTACAATTTTGAGCTATTTATTAAAATTTACATTTTAATTACTCGGAAAAAGAAAGATAAGATTCTATGTTACATTGATAAACAAAAAATAATTGCAAATCGAAATATACTACTATAATTAACAACCAAATAAGTTAATATTTAATAAGACATCTACAATATTTTAAGAAAGTTGTAGAATCTTCTTTAAATTATATGTGTATTTATTGCTATTTTAAGATAACTTATATACCGAGTGACCTACGGAAAATTTTAGCCCATCAAAAGGTATTTCATAGAGAAGTGGGGAAGGGGCTAGGAGGGTAAGGGCCTTACTACCTGTTACCTGTTACAAAGATATCGAAAAAAATGGATTACAATTAATCAAATATATTTATAAATGTAAAAATGATGATAATATAACACAATCAATTAAGTTTTCGAAAATATCAATTGGAAAAAATTAAATCATCTTTCATATTGACAAATCTCCCACCCAAAGAAGGTGCAGCAGAACAACATTGTTACAGAACATATTATCAGCTTCAAACTTAGCTGGGTAACGAACTGACAGCAACAGATTGGGGCTGGAAGCAACATCAACGTGTCATTATGCCCAAATTTACAGAAAAAGAATTAATTCCGGAAATATTCCTCAAAACTATTTGCTGCAGCTGTGAAACTGGATATAACAGTTTAAAATGCGACTGCCGAAAACATGGTTTAAAAAGCACAAATTTATTCTCAAATTGTCATGGTTCTGAAAAATGCTTCAATGTGGAAGAAAACACCTACGAGGAAGTTAATGATTCAGATGAAATTGTGGATGAAGTACCAATGCAGACTGGAAATCATATTGAAGACGGTGATGGTCTTGAAGATTTCGAAGATCTACTAGAATCGGGAAGATTTGTCGAATCTAACGATGAAGAAATGTCATCAAAGAGACAAAAACTAATGGAGAAGTGATTAGAATTCAAGATAAGGTATTTATAAATAACAAGATTAATGTATTTAAAAATATTATAAGAATAATGTAAGCAGTATAAAGTATCTAAATTCAATACTACGATTTACATGTATATTTATATATTATAAGATTTTCTGACATAAATCTTAGAGAGCATATGGCACCCTCAATGCAACAGTACCACAACTCAAAAAAATTCAATTTTGAGTTGCGTTGTGCAAAACGATACTTATATATCAGACATGCTTGTGCAATAGTAACGAAACACAAAATTCAAGGATAGTTTTTTTTATTAGCAGATATGTTAATATGCTTTGAACAAAAATTATTAATATCCTAAATTCAAGACAACATATTTCAAGTTGTGGTGGTATTGTATTATTGATACGCAGAGAAGCTGCCAGCTCATTCAACAACATTTTAAGATGTGTTACTATTGCATTCAACTGTTTAATTCCCGAATTTTTGATCTGCGTGAAAATTTGACTTGTGGTGACTTGTTCGGTTTGTTTTTGACATACTTTAGAATACTTCCCATCATAAGGTTGCTACGTTTAGGTTTTAATATAATAAATGCGATTTTATACACTCTTGCATAGAACGAGAAAAACAAAAGAGTTCTGAGGGGGAGTCCTATTTATATTCAACAATGGATACCAGTAATTGCTTTGGCCAAAAAAAAAAATGGCTGGCCGTATAAGATTCATGAAATGGACACCAGAAATTTTAAAGATTTCAAAAAATTAACCAGTCAAATCGGAAAAAATTTCACGCCTAACACCAAGAACGAAAAAGTAAATTGGCCCAATATCAGAATTTTTGAATTTAGAAAAAAGTCACCATTTTCAATTTTTTATAAATATAATTTCAATGAAACATGTTTTTTTTTAGATATCAGTGAAAGGTCGTAAAAGGAGTAGGTTGGAAAATACACCAATATTATTAAAGGATGTCTACACTGAACCACCAAAAATTTCAAAAAAGAAAAAGGACGGTCTTCTTTATTTATGTCGGGAAGGTGCGATTCCAGAAAAATATTCATTTTTTGAAAATATATCTGTCATTTAATGGATTATATAATTTGTATTTAATTTGAATAAAACTTTTTCTATTTATTTTTTTATAGTTGTTTTTTATTAGTATAGAAAAATAGCTTAAAAATGCAAATTAGTAAATTTTCCGTACCCTGTTTTATATTTTTCTTTAATGCAAAACTACCACACCTCAAAATAAGCCATGAAATTCATCATTTTTCTCAATAATATTAATACAGTAAAAAAGTATAAACTTTTTAACATTTATCATTTTAATGTAAACATTATAAACAATTTAAATTGCAAAAATAAAAGAATAAACTTACATTTGAACAAAGTTATAACAAATTGTTCAAACCCAAAACTCTAAACGCGTTTTTCTCAAAACTATCAATTTTGAGTTGTGTTAGTATTGCATTGAGGGTGCGATATATTAAAAAGACTGAACAAGAGATATCTAGTAATCCAAATAAATTTTGGGCATTTATAAATAGTAAGAAATCACAATCCAAATCCCCTCAAATAATGTCTTATGACAACAATTCACTAAAAACTATTCTCAATGAATTTGCTGAATTCTTCAGTCATATATTACCTCTAGCCCGTTTATTGCTAATTCAAATTCACGACTGTTCCTTTCCATAATGTCAATAGTTTTACCGAAAAAGAGGTATATAAAGCTCTAAAGTCTATTAAACCTAAAAAGACAACTGGTCCAGATCATATTCCAGCTTTTATTTTAAATGATTTTACCTTTCAACTTGCCCCTTCGTTAGCCACCCTTATAAATATATGCCTCAGGACATTAACAGTTCCAGATATTTGGAAGACCTCAAAAGTATGTCCAGTTTTCAAAAAAGGGGATAAAAGATATAACCAATATCTATAATATGCAATTTTTCCAAAATATTTGAAATTTTATTGGAGAAGAACTTAATCATTATGTTAGTAAAATGCTATCAGTCAATCAATATGGGTTTATGAAAGGTCGCTCAAAGTCACCAACGTGGTTACCGTCACACAATACATTGTTGAATCTATTGATGAGCGCGCCCAGACGGATGTCATCTACACAGATTTCAAGGCATTTGACAGGGTTTGGGTTGTCCCCCCCCCCTTTGATAAATCTTTTTCAGTGCTACTTAGTAAATCGTACTTAGTTTGTACAGCTTAATAGGTTTAGGTCTGTCAAATTTGCAACATCTGGAGTTCCTCAGGGTTCCATTCTCGACCCGTTACTATTTAATATTTTCATCAATGATATCTCGAGTGTAATTAAAGAGCAGTTTCTACTGTATGCAGATGATTTAAAATTGTACAAGCGTGTGACAAGTATTGGCTACTGTGAACAACTTCACATGAACTAAAATCTAGTGGTTAAATGGTGTAACAATAATAAACTTGAACTTAACCAAATTAAATGTAAAGTTATGTATTTTACTTTAAAAATCGACCAAATAAAATATAATTATTTAATAGATAATGTCTCACTTCAACGACCAGATACTTTTACAGATCTTGGGGTAATTTTTGATCCCGGATTGACCTTTATATGTCACATTGATAAAATGATTGAAACATCGTATCGTATGTATGGTTTTATAACTCGCTGTACCAGGGATTTTAAAGATGTAGCCACATTAAAAACGTTATGTTACCCTCTTATAAGATCAAAGCTTGAGTATGCGTCTGTCGTCTGGGGTCCGTTTTACCAACTTCACACGGATCGAATTGAAGCAGTTCAAAGGCGATTTCTAAAATTACTGTGTTTAAAGGAGGATGGTGTTCATCCGCCAATCGGAGTACCACACCAAAATCTTCTTCAAAGATATTACTTTTTAAGCCTCATAAAAAGACGTGAATACCATTATTATGTTAAGTTTCAAAATTGTTAACGGTTTAATTGATTCTCCTCAATTGTTGAGAAAAATTGATATCTGCATTCCAAGAGTATCCTCTAGAAATTCTGACAAATTTCACTTATCTGTACCTCGCACAATTGTTCTGAAAAATTCTCAATTTCATACTATTAGCCGCGTTGTGAATAGTGTGAGTAGTGACATTGACATCTTATCATGCAAACTTAGGGAAGTAAAATATCATTTCCTATCTTAAAAAAAAAAAAAATAGAATTGTATTTTACCTACTAGCTGATTACAAATTTTTGTGTATTTTGTTCGACTTAGTCTACATAATGTATGTGTTCTTTTATTCCTGCTCTGTAATTGGGATTGCCTGTAGAGCATTGTAATAATTAAATAAATAAATTAGAATTTAATAAATCAACTTTAAAAAAAAATTGCAGCAATCACATTTTTTAGATGAAATCCCCTTTAAATCCTATCTTTAATATTTAGGACAACTATTTTCGCATGTTTTTTGCAATCTTTATATTTTATGGATTTGTATTTTTTTGTTTATCAATGTAACATGGAATCTTACGTTTTTCTAGTAATTAAAGTGTAAATTTTAATAAATAACTCAAAATTGTACATAATTAAAAAAAATTCTGATTCGAGTTTTTTCGTTTCTTTGCATTTTCTGAGAACATTTACCATAGTAATGTATATATTTTTTTACACCATCAGAAAGTAGACTTTTTTAAAAAAGCAGATTTTTTGACCGGAGAATTTTCGATTGAAAATTAGGGTGCTTTTCGATATTAAGTATAAATAAGGTGAAAAAATAAATATATTAAATCAAAAAAATTACAGCAGTGTGTATAGGACATAAAAAGGTAGGATTTCACCAAATTTCGTGAAAAAAAAAATTGTAAAAGAATAATAAAAAACCAAAAACTTGGTTATTTGAGTTTTTCACATAAATTTTGAGTTTATGTGAAAAAAGTGTAAATAACAAAAGTTGTAGATCTTTTTATTACCCACTTTAACTTTTTTCCATAGGACTTGTAGCCGGAAATCGTATAATAGTATATTATGCAACGATCATGTAATGATGGTTATTAATACACGAGCATTAACCGGGATACGAAACGAGCCAAAGGCGAGTTTCGTATGGTTTATGCGAGTGTTTTAATAACCATTACATGAGAGTTGCATACGCTATTTTTTCTACACCCGATAAATAATCAAGACCTATAAATATTATATTTATATTGGTATTGAACACAATAACAGTAATTACTCGTATTTCTATAAAAAATTCTACAAAATTGTAATACTTCAGGTATTGGTATTTCCCTAGATTTTTGCGGTAAAATATTTTTTACTGTATTTTCTGCTTTCTCCGATATGTGTGGAGGAGTCTTCTATATCGCTAATATCAGACATTTTAATATTATAATTATCGAAGTTTAGCTACCTACGAAAATTTAATACGTTTTGACAACTAAAATAATTACATAGGAACCTAGGACAAACGTCAAACAGCATGCTTGATTGAAAAATTGTAGGTTTCTATTGATTAAAAATCTGTATCGTAATGAAAAATCTGTATCATAATGGGTATCATTATGAAACGGATTATGGGCATATAAGTGCATTATTATAATACGGGTGTAGAAAAACAGTTTTTTTACCCTTAAAAACTTACCCCCTTCCACATCCCGATCTCAGATTGCCCGTAAATTATATTTCCTTTCATTTTTGTTATATTCTCTTCCTTTTCAAATGGGTTTCATCCTATTATTTTTTTTTTTCATTTTCAAAGGTCTATTTTTACATTAGGTACTTTAAATAGTTAAGAGAAAAAGGGGATATTGAGAGCTGTAAAAAAATAATATTCCTCATTAATTGTATCTCAATTATAAGTGGAACAAACTCTGCTTTATAAATCGAGACAAAAAACCAGACCGGAAATCTATATAATTATTTAGATCATTTTTATTTGTTGCAAACTTTTAGCACCGTCATATACTTATAAACAAAAAAAAACAAAACAACAAAATAAACCTAGTTACACTATTTAAAGCGGGAGTATTTAAGACTGAAAAATTGATATTAAATTTATACATAAGCTTAAGATCTACAAAATAAAAATTATCTCAAAGGCACCTCAGAGCTTGCTATTTTACAATAATAATGTACAAAAAAAAATATTTTTTCTATTACTACATACGGAACCAGGCACTTTTTTTCGAAAAACAAAAAAACGTCCTTAACACAATATAAATACCCGATAAACTTGTTTTTTTTTATATAAATAAAAGAAGCACTAACCCTTATTGTACAAAAAACACCACAGCTTTATAAGAAGTGAATGCACTTTTAATATACCAACAAATTATGTTAATTTTCTAAATGTCTTTTAAAAAGCTGAAAATTTATTAAAACAAAATATACAGTACAGTCCAATCACAAAGATTAAATTAATTTTGTAGTATCAATTTTTAAGAAAAAAATTCAAGTACGACTTTCAAAAATTACATTTTTTTACTGGAATTCCATAGTTTGAAAATGGCTTAAAGAATAAACAAAAAGGATAGAAAAATATTTCATCCATAAAGTTGAATTTATATATGGGAATTGTTTTGTAATAAAAAACGTCGTAGGGCATCGCCTCTGCTTATTTAAAAACTGTAACTATCTCATATCAAAATTAGCTACTGACAAATGAGTTAAATCACGTCAAGTGGACCCCCATTTTCTACTTGATCATCGAATTCAGGTATCAGTATTTTTTCATAAAGTATTCACTGTAAACAATTAATCCCCAAAACAGTTTTTAATAATTTTCATTTTAACAACAATTTTTGTATTATTGAAAATTTTTATGACTTTTATTTAAAAAATCGATAATTAAAAAACTATTAGAGATATTTTAATGAAACTTTTAGGATTTATAGGTCAATACTTGTATTTTGATAAAATGTGCAAGAGTTTAAATTATTTATTTATTTTCATATTGATAATTAACTTTTAAGTTAACAAATGAAAATTTTAATGACTTCTCCCTCAAAAAACGAAATTTTTATTTTTCGGTATTATGCATTAAACAATCAAGTAACAGAATCCGCAAAAAAATTTGACTGCTCGCGATTAGATTAAACAAAAAAAAAATTATTAATGACGGGCGCCGAGCACTGTCGGTACAGCGCGCTACCACGCGTCATTGACTTACCTTTAGATCGACTCAGTAATTATAAATAAGAAACAATTCTTTATTTTGTAATAAAAATAATGTTATTTAATAAATGATTTTATTGAAACAAATTACAAAAATTTAATGAATAAAATATTTTTTTATAGAAAAACAAACAAAAATATTAAAAATTTATCAGTGTTCTATTATTGTATTTTTCGGATTGTTTTTAAAGAATTCCACCATTTATAATTATTTTAGATCTTAAACAATATTGTCAATTATTGAAAATGAATGTAAACTTTACTAGTTACCCAGCTTTAATCCCTTTTTAGATTAAAAAAAAAAAAAATTGCGTTCAGTTATTTTCATTTGTTATTTTTATATACAGGGTAGCTGTTAAAGATGGAACCAAACCTATAGTGCTTAAACAGTTCAACATACAAAACCCAAAATTTCAGAATTTCAACTAAATATATTTGCGCATATTTTAGCCCAAAAATTATTTTTTTATAATTACAAAATTTTAGGCATGGCCGCCATCTTGATTTTTTTAAATAGCAACATAGGTCATGTCCTTTTTGTTGTGTTTAGACCCCATGTGTGATACATTTTTGTAATGTTAAACCCTTTCAAATGGTATATCACATGACCTATGTTGCTATTTAAAAAAAATCAAGATGGCGGTCATGCTTAAAATTTTGTAATTACAAAAAAATAATTGTTGGGCTAAAATATGCCCAAATATATTTAGTTGAAATTCTGAAATTTTGAGTTTTGTATATTGAACCGTTTAGGCACTATAGGTTTGGTTTCATCTTTAACAGCTACCCTGTATATACACACAATAATTCCCAATAAAATCTTTAAAAGCATGAGCGCGTTTTTTTTTTTTCAATTAAAACTAGATTTTTAATATTTTTTTTTTATTACTAAACGGATTACAGCATTTATTCACGCGGCCCATGATAGATCATAATTAAAATTATAAACACCAATAAAATTCAAAACACCAATAAAATTTGAAATGAACCAATTAGATTTAGATCAGATTTAACACAAATTTATTAAATAAAAATTCTTATCTTTAAAATTTATTCACTGTTTATAAACGGATTTAACAAGTGAACTGAAATGGCTTGTGATATTCTTTTGTTATTCATGTGTATTCATATATAAAAATTACAAATGAAGAAAATAACTGAACGTAATTTTTTTTTTTTTTATCTAAAAATGGATTAAAGCTGGGTAACTAAAGTTTACATTAATTTTCAATAATTGACAATATTGTTTAAGACCTAAATTAATTATAAATAGTGGAATTCCTAAAAAACAATCCGAAAAATACAATAACAGAACACTGATAAATTTTTAATATTTTTGTTTGTTTTTCTATAAAAAATTATTTTATTCATTAAATTTTTGTAATTTGTTTCATTAAAATCATTTATTAAATAACATTATTTTTATTAAAAAAAAAATAAAGAATTGTTTCTTATTTATAATTACTGAGTCGATCTAAAGGTAAGTCAATGACGCGTAGTAGCGCGCTGTACCGACAGGGCTCGGCGCCCGTCATTAATAAATTTTTTTGTTTAATCTAATCGCGAGCAGTCAAATTTTTTTGCGGATTCTGTTACTTGAATATTTAATGCATAATACCGAAAAAAAAAATTTCGTTTTTTGAAGGAGAAGTCATTAAAATTTTCATTTGTTAACTTAAAAGTTAATTAACAATATGAAAATAAATAAATAATTTAAACTCTTGCACATTTTATCAAAATACAAGTATTGACCTATAAATCCTGAAAGTTTCATTAGAATATCTCTAATAGTTTTTTAATTATCAATTTTTTAACTAAAAGTCATAAAAATTTTCATTAATACAAAAATTGTTGTTAAAATGAAAATTATTTAAAACTGTTTTGGGGATTAATTGTTTATAGGGAATACTTCATGAAAAAAATACTGATACCTGAATTCGATGATCAAGTGGAAAATGGGGGGTCCACTTGACGTGATTTAACTCAAATTCGAATTAGAAAAAAAAAATTGAACTATTTTTTAAAAAAAAAATACTGAATTTGACAGATAACTAATGCATTACCTAGCCAACTTTAATATGGGCTATTTTAAGTTTTAAAAAAAGCAGAGTTGAATGTCTTACGATTTTTTCCTATTGTAATGTTAAAAAAAATCCCATATGGATCCAACTTTATGGAACACACTGGATAAATATTTTTTTAAATATGCCCGCTAGTTTTCCCCCACAAATGACACGCTAATCCCACGTCTATGTTCTTCACCGTTTTTGAGGGCTGGGTATAATGCTATGAGTATCATTTTCATATCAATCAATAAAACTCCCAGGCCGGACATTTTGGAAAGTAATAGAGATATTTTAACACTGTAAAAGCCAGTATATAGAGCGCTAAGAGAGCTTCAGTTTTAGACATAAATTAATTTTAAATAGGTCAATATGTAGATGGCGCTGCACTCATTTTTTTTTTTTTTCGGTGGAAGGGCTTTTCTTATATAGCGCATCTTGTAAAAAATGCATTTTTAAGCAGATTTTGTTCTAAACTAAGTTGATAAATCTAGCCATTTTTGATATACAGAGTGGGTCACTCAAAACAGTTTCATCCTGTTTTTTCTGTATTAATCATTGGATTTTAAGAAAATGTTAAATCAGGTCAATTTGTATTCTAAATTGAAACACATTTTTACAATACAGACATTTTTCGTGTGTCAACCCCTTCCCTAATTTTAAATGAGGAATGTACCATGTACGGCACATAATTGAAAAGGTAATTTTATGGGGAAGTCAGAAATATGACTGTTTATTACGATACTTTTAATTTTAGCACCCTATATCGGAATAAAAAAACCTTTAACGTATTACGAAGTGTGACACTTCATTTGAAAGCTAATTTAATTACTAATTCAATGCACGATATAACATTATTATAAATATTTCCATACTGCACTTGCAACAAAATAAAGTTAGCAATATTTAAAATAATGCATGACTAATTTTCAAACTATTGCAAGTGCAATATGGAGGATAAATATATTAATGTTATGTGGTACATTGAATTAGTAATTAAATTTGCTTTCAAATAAGGTGTCACACTTTATAATAATTTTTATCCCACTAGAGGGCGCTAAAATTTAAGTAACGCAATGTACATACATATTTTTGAATTCCCTATGAAATTACCTATCATTGATGTGCCTACATGGTACCTATTTAAGTGCAAGGCAGGGGGTTGACACATGACAGATGTCTGTATTGTAAAATGTTTTCAATTTGGAATGAAAATCGACCTGTTTTAGCATTTTCCTAAAATCCAGTGATTAATGCTGAAAAACAGAATGAAACTGTTTTGAGTTACCCATTCTGTGTATCAAAAATGGCTAGATTTATCAAATTTGTTCATAGAACAAAATCTGCTTAAAAATTCATGTTTTACAAGATGCGCTATACAAGATCCTCCCATCGAAAAAAAATATTGAGCGCAGCGCCATCTCCATATTGACCTATTTTAAATCAATTTATATCTAAAACTAAAGCTCTTAGTACTCTGGGAGCTGGGTACACAGCAAAACTGCAGATTCTTCGAGTAAAAATATTGTGATTACCCTAGTCCAAAAGTTGATAATACCCGAAATACAGAGTGACAAAGTTGTAATTTTCATTTCTTTTTTTTCTTAATATTTTTCATCAACAGGACGACATACCGGCACGAAATTATAAATTTAAGGGTTTTTGGAAACGAGAATATCAAATCCGTTCTTAGTTGGAATGCCACATGAAATCTCTTAAAAATTACCAAACTTTTTTGTGCTCGGTACGAAATTTACAAAGTTTACTTTTTTGTGGAAAATACATCAAATTTAACATTTAGGCTAATATACCGTGCACAATAAATTTTTATCATTTTAACCCGTAACCGGTGACGTGTAGTCAGGCAGACTCCTAAAGATTTTGTAACAGCTGTACATTTCTGGCGGTGACCTTGATTTTTGTGGGCGCTTATGTACCTTCATTATTATGATCAGTAGTGTAGCGCTTTGGAAGCACTACATACTAACTCCAACTTATAATATATTGATACATGTCACACCCATGCCACACATATCAGTATTACCTGGGAAGGTTATGTGGCGACATCATAGCACCACATAGTCTTACCTTTAGTTTTAACTTTTACGTCAATTTATTTTAAGGTTTCCTATAGCGGATTCGACTGGCTGCATTAATGCGCATTTAGTTCGACTTTTTTAAGTGATGTTTGTTCGACTGGCAGAACCTAATTAATTAAAAGTCAATTATTGCATTCGACTGAAATTGCTCAGTACCAAGGCACAGTGAAATTTTTGTTCGACTGGCAGGCGCTCTTGCTCAAAGTTCGAATTTTTTGAAACTGTACTTTTTTTCAGTGCCAGTGTCATTTTGGAGGTTAGGATTTATTTAATATCTTTAAATATATTACCATCTTTGTCCCTATTATTAGTGAGAAAGGAAAATCTTTGAAATTAATAGAGATTTAATTTTTGGTTTGGCAACTATAAATGATTATCGTTAAAATTTGTTAGAAACCTAAAATGTCAAGTTCTAACTGTGCCAGTCAAATAAGGATAAAGATGCGCTACACCATTGTCGAACTCTAGCTCGTGCTTGCTGTATGCACTGCTAGATATGAATTTGAATTATAAAAATGCTGCCCAAAATCAATTCAGAACTGAAAGCGCTTTGTCATCGAGCAAGAGCATTTGAGTCGAATCCGCTATTAGTCAGTTTTTATTTGAGGTTGGTCAAGTGTCAATATCAGATGGCATCATTATAATATCACATATATTATGATCTTGGTCGATAGCTGCGTACACTAGCACCCTACTTATCCGATGGATGGTAACCATGGAAAAAGGAAACAAAAAACTGATTGATTACTGATTTCAAAAAAGACAAGACAAGACGTACCTCGACACAACATTTTTCATATGTTTTTTTATATTTTAAAATAAAATTATAATTATTTACTGAAATTCTGATTTCCTGCTACCTACAATTATTGTAGCGCCTTGGAAGCACTACATACTAACTCCAACTCATAATATATTGATACATGTCACACCCATGCCACACATATCAATATTACCTATTAAGGCAGCTTAGTGGGAGGCAGGATTTAAGTGCACCCTATCTATCTACTTGACGACCTCGGTTGCCAAGCATTAATATTTATTAAAAAAAGAAAAATGTCATATATATAATTTTCTGTCATGACGGAATTGTCTATTTCATTATATTAATATATACCCTTTTACAAACCGCTATATTATTTACAAGATGGGATCCACAAAGTTAAAAGATCCCATAAGTAGTCATAGCATTAGGCATTCCAACGACCTGTCCAAATGGCTACCAGTGGGATCTGACAGTTAAGATATGGCAACCCTGTGGGCATCTTGTCATTAACCAGGTCAGTGATACCTATATAGTTAAATAGATTGCTCAAAGCGGGTCAATTGCGATCAGCCATATTTAGCAGAAAGTTTAGCAAAAATGTGTTTTAAAACCAGCCTTTGAATATTTAAAAAAAAATAATTGCTTACATTTTTACTTCAAGGCATAAGCGTATGTTTATTTTTTAAACCATGGATGATCAAATTATATAACTGTCTATTGCATTGACCCTATCAAATTACCAGGCTTACAGTGTTGTCATATTATAACCTATCATGTGTCTGTCAGTGGGCTGTCATTTCAAACGGGCAGCCATTTTGTTTGGAATGCCTAATTCAGTCGATATAAACATATAAACAGAACAAGTCTAAAATAAAAATCGAAGTCTCTATGGCTCCACGTCACCGTTAAGGTAAGTTTTTGCGTTGTATGTTGTTTTATATTTTTGGGTAATATTAAATATTTTCAGATGGACTTACGGCCTAGTACCTCTACTGGTGTTCGTCCTACGAAAAAAATGTTTGAAAGTATCGTGTTAAAGTGGTACAATGAAGCAGATTCTGATTTATCTAATATTGAAGATGGAGAAGAAGAAATCCTCTATCGACCTTCAAGTGAAAGTGATGAATCAGCGTCAGAAGATGAAAATAATCGGAATGGAGATGAAAATGAAGAAAATGAATCAAATGAAGAAGTAAATAAAGAAACGAAAAAAGAAAAAGATACTTTTATAGAAAAGATCTGCGAAAATGGCAGTCGAAGAACCAGTGGTCAGAAATGTTCGAACTGCTCAACATAATATAGTTATGACCCTACCAGGATTGAAGGAACCTGCACGTATTCTAGGAGAAAAGGCTAATCCAGAAAATATATGGAACCTCTTGTTCAATGAAGTTATGATAAACACTATTATACTGCCGTCCTACAAAAAATTGGATTTTGAAGTTTTTATATCAATAGGTTCGTGGCAAGCTAAATTAACTTCTTGCCAAGTAGAAATGCCGTATGTGTTTCCGAAATATTAAAAATACAACATAATTAGCCGCATCTGAATACTTTACCATCTAAAGAAATAACTTTAAACCTTATTTTCACCGCTTGACGCTCTCAGTAGAGGCGGCATCTGTTTTTAGGACGGCAGTATAGTACCGTATACAAATTTAAAAATCGAAGAGATGCGCACAAAGTATGCAAATGAAAAACGGGCAGATTTAAAAAATACTGATAGCACTGAAATAAGAGCATTGTTAGATCTCCTGATATATACAGCCATTTTCAAGTCCAATGATGAAGACATTGATGTTATGTTTAAGGCGGATGGAACCGCAAGAGAAATGTTTAGGGCTATTATGAGGGGGAAAAGATAAATTGCTTGAGATTTGATGACCCTAAAAAAAAGGAGAAACTGACAGACACCGGCAGTTCATATAAACAAAATTTTTGATGTTTTTTGAAAATTCCAAAAATTTATTTAGCATTGGTACAAATGCTTCTATTGATGAGATGTTGGTAGGATTTAGGGGCAAATTTCGAGTTTATATACCGAATAAACCACGAAAATATGGAATAAAAGTTATGTTGTTAAAAGACGCCAAGACACATTATGCTTTTAATGGATACAGTTATACTGGAAAAGATTCTGATGGAGTAGGTCTTTTAAATCAAGAACGTAAATTAACCATTCCCACATAATCTGCAACGCCCATTTATGGAAGTAATAGGAACATTACTGCAGACAATTTGTTTTATTCCCTCCAATTGGTGAAAGAACTATGCATATGTCATACACTACTGCTTTAAGAAGAGAGAAATTATATCCAGATTAGTTTTTATGAAAAAAGTCTCTAACTGAACCATTTATGAGAAGTCGTTATGAAAATCCAAGAATTAGTTTAGAAGTGAGGATTATGATAAAAAGAATAGTTGGAATTCAAGAACCAGTACCATTTCCCGCTGAAGAGAAATTAGAGTTTCGGAAATATTGTTATCTGTGCCCATCTAAACTGCATAGAAAGACATATTATATGTGCTATGACTGTAAGAAACCAATTTGTTTGTCATGTAGCAAGAAAATGTGTATACAAAGTGTTTCTAAAAATTAGAATGTAAATAAGAATTATAGTTTGAAATTAATGTAGTTGACTGTTGTCAAAATTTATGAAACTGAATAAATGTTTTTTTTGCTAAGAAACCATTTATTAGTACCTTTTTAATCACACACGCCTCAGGTTAACTAAAAAAAAAGCATTTGTTGTATATTGCAAAATTTCTGTATATCTATATATACACAGCCCAAATGCGAATGTTTGAATTTGTTACATAATAAAATAATTTTGTAATTTTTTTCATAAAATTCAACAGGAACCAATAATGTTCATTAAGTTGCGACTTATTGTGATATTTTTTTTTTTAGAATAATTATTTCTTTGATATATTGCTTTGAAAAAATTAGTCTCTGCTTAATGTAACTGATATTGCACCTCACTGGTTACGGGTTAAAGATATTTCAAGTGGCTCCCTCTACAAGTGGCATTCAAATTAAGAATTTGCATTTCTCGCCCTGTTGATGAAATAATAATAAAAAAAACTAAATGAACATAAAAATTTGACACCTTACCCTGTATTTCGGTTATTAACTTTTGGAACTAAGGCAAGTTTGGTTAAATCGCAATATTTTTACCCAGTTTTGCTGCGTATCATTAATTATATGTATAATAGACGAGTACTGCCTAGTGTCACGTTTCACACAATCCATTTAAAAAAAAACTGTCAATTACGTAAAAATATTTGCAAAAATGTGGAATTGGACGATTTATTTCTTTTATGACGATATTTGTATACACGCATACTAATAGTGCATCAATTCTTAAAAGTTTTAAGTAAAACAAAATATAATGCGGAGCCAAGACTGCAAAAGGCAGAGTTTCAATCATACCGGATGCTAAAAATTGCAAGTACATTATCACGCTTTATTTTTCATAAATTTAAATCCTCATGTACAAGCAATTGATAACACACTGTATTATAACATATAACTTATTGATATATTTCTGCTTACAATAATTATATTTTTTGAAAATTATTTTTATTTCGGAATTATGGGATTTTTGGAAACGTCAATCATTAAAAAAGTTGCTGTTACCAAAGCAGCCCACAAACTTAACTTCAAGATAATTTCACACAGTCCGATCCAAAAAGATACTTTCTAAGGTTTACATGACTTCCTAAATACCCAGTGATACTGCAACGTCACTCTGATTTCAAACAAAACAAAGCAACAGCTGTCATAGTTGTCAACAATTTTTAATGGGTTTCTAAAGCAACTCTTTTGGCTCCAAACGTACCTTAATTAGGTATATTTTGAGGCAAAAGAGTTGAATATCCAAACCTGCTTTGTCATGTTACCACTTAAACATTGTTTTATTTGGAAACTATTTCATTGTAGGATTAATTTAAAAAAAAAAAACTTAAAAGTAAATTTTAATATTTAAACTATATTTTAATGGTATACGCGTATCTTTTGAAGTATTGTATTATGATGGACGATTGGCAAACACTCTACAAATATGCTAAATTAATGATGACGTAATTTTGGTTCCACTGATAATTGCAGTGACAGTGCGTTTAATAATATTGTTATAAAACTTTTATAAATATATTTATAGAGTAAATAAATAATATGCTTCAAGTATATAATCATTTAATAACCAATTATTTACCTTTAAATTACTTTTTATGACCCGCAAACAATATTTATTAAAAACAATAAAAACGTATATGTCAAATATTGTTAAAACGACTTTTGCTTTGACATCCGAAGTGTAAACATCGCTGTCAGTGAACATTTAACAATCTTTTGTTATTTGGGCTATACTAACACCATCCTGTGTAGTTTCAACCCTTTTCTTCCTCATATTTTTAGTAATTGTATATAAACATATTTTTGTAACACTTAACAAATAGAGGTTAACTTAACCTCCAACCCACAAGAGTTGGGGGTCAAGGATCCGCCGTATCCTCCGACGAGGGTTAAAAACTTGTATTCGAACACAGACTCGGGCCCCTTCGAAGTGTATGTCCAAGGTAAAACAAATAATCTAGGAAATCTTCATATACTAAGTATAACAAAAACCATTTTTAATCTGAAACTGAAGGATATCCTCAAAATAGTAAGAAAAGGGAAAAACAGTATTGGTGCGATCTTTACCAATTTATAGAGGATAAAGAAATGGAAAATAAAGGTTCTGAAGTTTTTATTCCATCACACAATGTCTCTTGCAAAGGGATTGTAAGGTATGTGGACAGATCTTTTACAGATGATGAAATTAAAGAGGCAACTGAAACTCATTTAGTGAATTGTAAATTTCTTCAAGTCAAACGTCTAAACAGAAGAGTTGTGGAATCCCGTAAAGAAATCTCCTATGTACCAACAAGTACGATTTGTGTTACTTTTTCAGGAAAAATGATTCCTAAAGAAATTTCAATGTATGGTCTCCTAGTCAGAGTTGTACCATATATCACCCCAGTAATACAATGTCATGATTGCTTGCATTATGGACATCGTATTAATCAATGTAGAGGAAAGACCAAATGCATAGTGTGGTAAATCCCATGAGTCAGATGTTACTTGCAGTAAGTATTGTATTTATTGTAAATCTACGGAACATAGTTCCAACGAGTTTAATTGCCCTGAATATAATAGACAAAAAGAAATCAAGCAACTAATGTCATTTTCGAACATATCTTATTTCGAAGCCAACCAACAAATTCCAAAAAAATACAGAAAACCCTATCCCTAATATTAATGACTTTCCAGCTCTTCCCAACAGGGATACAAATCAAAATGGTATCCCAGTCTCCCAAAAAAGATCAGAAGCCTTGTCTAATACAAGGTTACCCACCTACAGTCAAAAAAATAAGAACGCCAAAACGAAAGATGATGAATATGATAAGAAAAAGCATCAAGAATGCATAATTAGTACATCGGAAAGATCATCCAGTCTCCCAACTCGACCCCTATCGTCTCCCTTTCGGCCTAAGGAAGGAAATAATATTAAAATAGATGTTATTCAAGCCTTAACTTATCGGACCAACACAAGGAGTTAGTCATGACTTTCATAGGTAATATTATCAACTCTTTTTATTCTGTATCACAACCCCCAATGCTTCTACAGGTCCAGCAGTACCTTCAAATTCTTTCTCTCAGTCAGGTCTAATGGAGTACTCTGAAGATTCAGAGTACTAATTATCTATTATTATGCTTTTCGATCCATTAACCATTATTTAATGGAACATTCGCTCTTTTAACTCAAACATAGATAATCTAAAGATCCTAATTAAGGACCACAATCCAGACATAATCCTACTTAATGAAACTTGGATGAAGGAAGATTATAGGTTAAGGTGTAGAGATTACCAAACATTGAGAAATGATAGATTGGATGGCTATGGAGGTATAGCCTGTTTAATTAAAAACAATTTAGATTTTCAGCCTCTTCTAATAGATTACTCTCTAGATCATCCAACTCAAGTTCAAGCCATCTATCTGCTCCACTGCCAATTAAATTTAGTGAATATTTATTTCCAAAAATAATTGGTCTAACAAACCTCTTTTGATTATGGGGGACTTAAATTGTAATCATGTGTGTTGGCTCAAACGGTAAAAATACAATAAATTCTTTAGATTCTTTACAATTAGTGTTTTTAAATGATGGCTCTCCTACACGAATTTCTCCACCAAATGGTGGTAATGGGTTCCGCGGAAGTCGAAGGCAAAATAATAATTATAATAATTTATTATTATTTTGTTCTCACAGTTCTTTTTTGATTTTATTGGAAGCTATAAAAGTAGCACGATGATGCTGTTGTGATAAAAAATGAATATTTTCATATTTTGGTGCTAAGGGGTTCCTCAGAAAAAAATAGAAGTACTCCAGGATTCCTCGCTCTACAAAAGGCTGAGAAACACTGTTTTAGATTTTAGAATCTTCAAATCAACAGTTCCAAAGTCCACAATTTGCAAATTTGTCGTAATTTACATTAAAAACACTAGTCAGGTTAACTAACTTTGTTTGTCAAATGTATTTGTATTGTTTGCAAATCGTAGTTCATATTGGTTTTTTTTTTGAGATGACGGATTGTCTAAGTGGTAGTCAGTTTTAACGTCATTGCAATCACAGTACAATACAAGGTAAAAATGAAAGAAAGAGTAGCAGAATGACAGAAGACAGCTAGTATAAAGACAAATCTTATATCGGAATTGGAACATCGGAAGACCCAGCAAAAGATGGAGGAACTAGTATGATGAAAACGATAGAAGAAAACGGAAGTCATCTAGGAAGCTAAGCGAACATTTAAGATATAATAAATATACCCCAAATTTCAATTAAATTACTCCTAGATAAAGTGAAATGATTGTCAAGATAATTTCAAAAAAAAAATTTAGCTACAGTATTTATATTCAGAATACTAGCTATTATTTATACAACCAGTTACGAAATGCCTTATTTTATGTAACGCGTGAATATTTGCGGAACGAGCAGAGCGAGGTCACGCAACATGAACGAGTTTTGGTAAAAAAAATACTGACAACCAATTACTAGGCAACCAATATTACTAATTTCTTGTATTGTTAGTTGCATATGTATAACTTCATTTATTTTATTGACAAATAGAAAGTCATACTAATTTATTATCAACGACTTGTAGAGTCTTTATATTGCTTATTAAAATTATTTAATTCTCAAGAGAGTGAGTTATTTTGTAGTGTATTGTGTTTTAATTATTTTGTGCTGATTTAGAATGGAAAACAAGGCCCAAAACAACATTATTACTAGGTTGTAAGTTCACTAACCAAATTCAATTTTTATATAGTCAACCCTTCCTTCTTTGATATAAACTCGTTCATGTTGCGGGACCTCGCTTTGCTCGTCCCGTAAATATTCACTCATTACATAAAATAAGGCATTTCGTAATCGTTTTCATAAATAGCTATTTCATAACCGGTTTCATAAATCGCTATTTTGTAACCAGTTTCATAATGTTCAACATTAGGCAATTGGTTACGTAAAGTAAATCATTTTGACACTTGCTGCGATTACAAAAAATGTCACTTTATACATCAAAATTAGAAAAAATATATTTTTTAGTCCGAGGCTTGATTTAATCCTATTAATGATGAGGGCCAAGATAATGAATAAAACTATGACTGCAATAAACGTAAAAAAAGGTTTCAATAGATTTTTATTTTCAGTAAATTAAAGTAAATCTGCCAATTAAGATATTTTGTTTGTATGTTCAAGTGATAAATGATGATAATAATAAATATATCGATGCCTTAGTTCACAAACCTAAGTCCATTTACTTAATTATGAAAACCTTTTAATTTTAATATATAATAAATAACTTAAAAATACCAAAAACTTTTAGAATGTACTGATTACCTTAAAATTACAAAACAAATTATCCACCAATGGACTTTTGAAATTTTTAAAATAGTAATATTTTTGCCTCCTGAAAAAAAAAAACATAATTTGTGACTTGGAAGGTTTGCAAACTAAGGGATCGAAATGATAAAAATCAGACTATAGTTGAATTTTTCACTTGATAAAAGCTAAAATAAACTGATTTGCACGACTGTATTTATAACAAGTTAAAAATGAACCAGCATATTATTTGCTGTAAATACACTAGCGGATTTTTACTCATACTCTGATCAATTTTATCATTTGTTGTTGAAACACCTTCTAGTTACACCGTGGTGAAAATTGATCAATAAATTATATTGATGTGCAACGTTTAATTCTGATGGGAAACATATCATGGAAATACAGAAAAAAAAACGGAGTATCCAGAAGCAAAGATTGCCGGCTGCATAAGGTACAGGGAATAAAGTAAACGCTGATTAGTACATTTTAAATCTTCCGGGTCATTTGGTCTTGCCAAAATGACAATTGACATTACCAAAAACGTTACGGCGGGAGAAAAAAAGAGTTCGCAACGTCTGCAGACTGATATGCTGATTGCTACTGTGTTAACATATGACTATATGCAAATTTCTCAACAAAAAAAAACATTCCCCCATATATACAAATTAAATTTCTCACTCTTTTTCTTTTATCTCTACTTCCGCTACCTTTTCTCTCTTATCCGCACTGTCTTCCGTACTTATAACTTCACTTTTCCTGTCTACTAATTTTTCTTTGCTTTGTACATTGTTTTCGGTATTGGAATTCTCTTTTTCATGCGGTTCCGTTGCCTTTTCGGGTTTGCTTTCCGTTTGAACCGATATTTTAGAATTACTGGAAGATTTTAAAGGTTCTTTTGATTTTTGTTCAACCTTAAAATCCTTATCACTAGTTTGTTGTACATTTTTATCCGTATTGCTAGTCGCAATTTTTAACAACTGATTTGTTCCACAATCGTTTATTTCTATTTTATTGAGCTCCGGTTTTTGGTCCATGGTTTTCTTCCCGCTATCGACGTCGTTTGTGTGCGTTTCCGGTAAAGAGGGCGGCGCCGACGTCTTACTGACTTCCGGTTCCTTCTGAGATTTAGTGGTGATCTTGTTGCGATTTTGGGTCATCTTTTCGACCACCGTTTCAAGGCTTTTGTCGGTTTTCGATTCTTTTTGGACTTTTTTGTGCGTCGATGGGAGTTTGGTGATGGTAGGCGAAAGAGGTATGTTATGGCTTCTTTGTAATGTAGATATGTTTGTGGAAGTTGGTGGGATGGGCCTCGAAGGCATCTACAAAGGGAACAAAACAATAATGTCTGTTTTTTATCAATCAAAGAGAATAATCCCGTTTTTAGTGAAATTGGACAGAGTTTTTAGTCCTAGGAGTAAAATAAACTACCTCATATTTACCAAATGTTTGAGAGTGGCAGTGTAAAGCTATAGGAATACCAAATAAAAAATCGCTCATCTATCGGGCTTTAGTAGTGGTCGCTGTTAGGACACTCTTAAAATATTGAAAAAATCAAAGTACATTTATTTACCTCATAAGTACCAACAAGCAATTCGCATCAAAAAAGAAAAAAAAATACACATTAAATATAAAATATGGACTTCTGCCATGCTGTTCCGTTTTTGAAACAGACGGTGTTTTTCAAAGCACCCTTTTAATAATGTTATCGATTACCAGATTGATTTTTTACATATAATTAGTTTATTGATTAGTCATTTGTGTGGTAAAAAGACGACAGACGATCGCGTTTATAAGACAGATGCTCCGATAGTAAAAAAAAAAATAGTTAACATATATTTACTAAATGGATGCCTCACTATTATCTGGATATTTTTTTTTAAACGAATAAAATTATCATTTTTTTTAATCTGATCGTTTATTACAGATGCTGAGAGTTTGATGATTTTCTCATTGATCCTATTATCAGATTTTGACCAAATTTAAATGTGACGTACACCCTTTCTAACAAAAAATCATAAAAATCGGACAACGTGGTAGAGAATTATCGCTAAATACATTAAAAAATAAAATATTCTGACAAATTCAACTTTATATAGCAGTAAATAATATATACGAAATTGGTTCAGGGTTCGTCTGTTGAAGAGTGTAAATGCCGATTAAACAATATTAGAAAAACTATAATAATAATAATAATAATAATTTTATTTTTTTTTGCGCAGATATAATTTACACCTCATCAAGGAAAAATCCAAATTTTTTTGAGAAAGAAATTAGCTACTTAGGTCATACAATTTCAGCTAGAGGCCTTCAAAAATCTGACGATAAAATTAAAGCTGTGCAAAATGCACCTAGACCTCAATCATCTGATGGAGCCCGCGACAGTTCCTGAGCCTGATCATGTATTATACCAAGTTTATAAGGAATGCTTCTACTCTAAACAATTTTAGAAAAACTGCGCAGATACACCTCATCAAGGAAAAATCCAAATTTTTTTGAGAAAGAAATTAGCTACTTAGGTCATACAATTTCAGCTAGAGGCCTTCAAAAATCTGACGATAAAATTAAAGCTGTGCAAAATGCACCTAGACCTCAATCATCTGATGGAGCCCGCGACAGTTCCTGAGCCTGATCATGTATTATACCAAGTTTATAAGGAATGCTTCTACTCTCCCTTATCCACTGAATCGGTTATTTCTTTTAAATTGGCAAATGCTTGTAAAGAGGCTTTCAAAAGAGCTAAAGAAGAAATAGCTAGTGAACGAATCCTGATGCCTTTTACACCTGAACTAGAAGTTGTCTTAGCAACTGATGCTAGTTCATATGGAGTGTCCAGAATTTTGTTTCTTGTGGTTTCTTGTTGTTTCTTGTCGTTTCTTGTCGTTTCTTGTCGTTTCTTGTCGTTTCTTGTCGTTTCTTGTCGTTTATTGTCGTTTCTTGTCGTTTCTTGTCGTTTCTTGTCGTTTCTTGACGTTTCTTGTCGTTTCTTGTCGTTTCTTGTCGTTTCTTGTCGTTTCTTGTCGTTTCTTGTTGTTTCTTGTTGTTTCTTGTTGTTTCTTGTTGTTTCTGGTTGTTTCTTGTTGTTTCTTGTTGTTTCTTGTTGTTATTAATTTCGTTTTGCTGGACTGCTTTATTTGATAAAACTATACTATGTCCTCCACGGATACCGCGGATGAAGGTGAAAACATACCGTTCACACCTCCCAAAAAACGTCTAAAAAAGGGAAATTTGGACTCCTGAACAAAAGAAATCATTCTCAATGTTTATAAACATGAAAGGCTACAGAATCCTGGGATTGTGGTTCATGAAATTGAAAGAAGAGTGGCAGATAGAACAGGGGTATGTTGTAAAACCGTGTTTAACATCGTTAAGGAGTATAAACAAAACAGAACATTCTCTGAACCAAAAAGAAAATTGCGCCACACACAAATCTTAGATTCCGTAGAAGATTTCGATAAAGCTGCAATAAGACGGAAAGTGCATCAATTCTTTTTTAGGAATGAGCTTCCCACAGTCGATATTGTTTTAAAAGAGGGTAATGATGATCCAGATTTACCAAGTTTTGCCATGTTTAAGGGACTCGGAATTGACAATAAACTTGTAAATTTAACGGATATACGAGAGCCTCGCATTGGCAATAGAAATTATATACAAAACGCTCGAAGTGCACCCTAGTAAGAAATATAATAAACTAAAAACCGTATAAGAAGCGATATACACATCACATATGAGTCCAAAAAAAAATTTAAATTGTGGTTTTGGGGGTTGGGTGATGAAAAATAGCTCTATATACACGTGTTTGACCTGGGCCTCAGATAGTATCTTGCACAAGTATTTACGGGCCTCGTATGTGACAACTATAAATCTATATAAATGTTATTGTAAAGATAGAAAATCGTAGAAAATCGCATTTACAACTTTTTAAGAATATGTACAATATTTTTGTTTCAAAATAAAAACTGCTGATGCGTAAACTAAAATAAATTGCAGGAAAAGGAAAAAGTCTGGTGATTACCATGATGAAATGACTGGTCAGTCATTTGAAAACTGGTTTTCAAACACTTTACCCAAGTTAGAAGACATTTGTGTCATAGTATTGGACAACACATTCTATCATTCGAGAAAAGTGGACAAAATACCTACAACGGCATCTAGGAAAGCAGAAATTCAAAACTGGTTACTGTCAAAGAATATACACTTCGACGATCAAATGCTTAAAATAGAACTGCTTGCCCTTGTTAAATAGCACAAAAAGCAGTATGACAAATTAATAATAGACGAAATGGCTAAACAACATAATAAAACAGTATTGCGCCTTCCACCGTACCACTGTGAGTTGAACCCAATAGAATTTATTTGGGCAGATATGAAGAATTTCGTAGCCGACAGAAATGTAACTTTAAAATTTGCCGACATCAAAATTTTTTTTGACGAGGCGATATTATTAACTTCTCCAGAGAAATGGCAGCGCTGTATTGAACATGTACGTCAAAAGGTAGAACCAAACATGTAGGGACTATAGACAATATCATACAGGTTCAAATTGAACCAATTGTAATAGCAGTTGGTGATAGTAGTAGCTCAAGCATGTCAGAATTAGAGTCAGAATAATACATTTAAGTAAGTCAGTAGCTATAGTCCCAAAAAAGCTTTCTAAAAAAACGTTCATTTTAAAAGTAACCCTTAAATGTACGAAAGTAAGTTGTTATGGCTTCTAATTAATAAAAAAATCTAGCATATTATATATTAAAATGTTCACTCAGTCCAGTCCTGGTCCCGATTTCGTACAACACATATTTTAAGATTTATTAATATTAAAATACAAACAAATTCAAAAATGTATTTTTTCGCGTGGTTCACGAGCTTAATGCGGCCCTGTTCTGTTTAGGTGTTCACGTGATTCTGTTGACATCGGGCGTATTTGAAATGTGAATATAGTATAGAACGGAACAAAATTATAGCCAGTTAGGCAAAGAAGCCACGGCCATCTATTGATCTTTTAAAAAACTATTTAATTATTTATAGGGACGAAAATTTACATTAATTGTTGATAATAAACCTCTTACTACAGAAACAATTGCCTACATTGTTGGCTACCAGGGTGATACGTTATGCTCAGTATTTATCAGGATTCCACTATAATATTGAATACCGGAATACCAAAGATCATTTAAATGTAGACTACCTGTCCAGAAACCCGCTCAAATTAAGTCCAGATGCAGAAAATCACACAGATGATACTTATATCTCCAATATTGAATTACTACACAAAATCAGCACAGTAACATCACTCAAAATAGCAAATGAAATTGAAAACGATCCGGAATTATCAAAATTCAAATTGGAAGTACTCTGTGGTACTATAAGAGATACATAATTATCCGTTCAGGACGGAATTCTTTCCAAAGGTAACTGAGTCATTATTCCCAAAGCGTTGCAACCTGATATCTTAAGAGAACTGCACTCTACTCATATAGGGATCGTGAAAATGAAAGCACTGGCCCGAAATTATTGCTACTGGAAAAATATCGATTCAGATATATAAAACACGGTAAAAAAATTGTTTACCTTGTTGCAATATCAAGAAAAATCCAGTTATATCTACACCGTTGGGAAATACCAGAACGAAATTGGCAGAGAGTACATCAATGGCTCAATCAAAAACCGCCACAAGTCAAAAACAGAGAAAATTACATTTTTGGTTTAATGGATGCAAAATATCATTGAAATTTTATTTAAAGTACCGCCACAAACCAAAATATTCTTAGAGATGCCCGAAAATGATTTAAAATCCAGCCACAAACTGTATCTAAAACTGCCTCAATTCTGCAAAAATACCCAATTTTTTTTACAAACTTCACAATAACTCAAGTAAAGGTACTTTTATAATCGTATTCCTTAATTTTAACAGTAAAAATGTCGTAGCTTTTAAGTAAAATATAAAGATTCTATGCCAAAAACAAAATAATGATAATAGAAGCTTACAAAATTTTAAAACGAAATTTCTCAAAACAATAGTATTTTAGTTGTGGCAGTATTTGATTGAGCCATGGACATATTGATTTTGCTGGCCCATTTCTAAATCACCACTTCCTCCTTGTTGTTGATGCCTAGTCAAAATGGCCAGAAATAATGATGATGAAGTGCATCCCAACACAGCTAAAACAATTTACCTTCTAAGGGAAATTTTTAGTAGAATGGGTCTCCCAGAAATTCTAGTAAGTGGTAACTGACGTTAAAAACTAAACTTAAATGTATGATGAATGAACCGGGAGATCTGCAGGAGAAATTATGTACATTTTTATTCAGATATCGAGTAACG